AATGATTTTTCCAAGTATTTCTTTTTTTTTTAATTTTATTTATTTATTTATTTTTCCCCCAAAGCCCCAGTAGATAGTTGTATGTCATAGCTGCACATCCTTCTAGTTGCTGTATGTGGAACGTGGCCTCAGCATGGCCAGAGAAGCGGTGCGCGCCCGGGATCCAAACCCGGGCCGCCAGCAGCAGAGCGCGCGCACCCAACCGCTAAGCCACGGGGCCGGCCCCCCAAGTATTTCTTTAAAATGTTTTATATTTTTGATGTTTTAGCAATCTACCTAAAATTATTTTTGAGTGGGAGAGTAATTGATGTTGTTTTTAATAGTTACTAAAACCATTACATTTCACAGATAAGAAAACTAAAGCTAAGCATCTATAAATCACCTCCTAAAGTTCACAGTTAGTAAAGGGCAGGAATCAAGATTCAATCCAAGGCCTATCTGTGGATTCTTCCAGAATACCAGGCTACTTCTTCAAGCAATGAACAAAAATTCCTACAATATGAGACAAGAATTGTCATTTGTGATGTGGCTGCTGTGTTCTCTAAGAGCTCACAGGAGGCGAGGTCACTTTCTGCAAGAGTGATCAGGGAAGGCTGGAGCTTGAAGGACGGAAAACAGTTGGAGAGAGAGGAGGGAATGACGATGAGCAAAAATGTGGAAATACACAAAAAATACGACCTGGAAATATTGTAGTCTGCCTGCTTTACACTGTTCCTTGTTGAGCACAGCACAGACTCTGAATGGAGAAAACGAGGGAAATAAAGCACAAGATATAGATTTAAGAGACAAAAATGGAGACTGTTAATTCTAGTCTTAGAAATCTGGACTTAATTTGGTAAGTAGTAGGGAGTAATGGAAAAATTTTTAGCAGGATTCCCTAGGTAGGATTCCCTAGAACCAGAAGCTGAAAAAGTGATATATTGAAGGGGGTCTCTTCAGTGAAACTGGTACGAGAGAGAAGGAAGCAGGAGAAGGTGGGGGAAGAAGCGAGGCAAAGATACAGGTTCAGCTAAAGTCTACGCTCAGCCTGATCCCATAGGGAGCTCTGGAATGTGAACAACAACTCAGAGCCTTACGTCCCTCAGTCATTGGCTGAGGGCCAACCCAGGCATCTCTTGGCAGGATGGCTCCCATTGGGTTGAAGCAATCCTCAGGAGAAGGGTGAGTCCATAACCACCCTTCACTCACAGCAGTTGAAGGATGGGTCGCACTGTCCTAGTGAAGGGTGACTGAGCAGGCACCAGCCACGTCTACTACATGGCATTTTGAAGGATGAACTGGAATGGTAGGGGCCTGAAGAATTAGATACAGATATGAAAGGCAATACCATCTGAACTTTTGGATAGTGGCTACGTAGGCAAAATAATGGCTTCCCAAAGATGTCCATGTCCCAATCCCCAAACCTCTGAATATGTTCCACTGCATAGCAAAAGGGACTTTGCATGATTAAGGTTAAATATGTTAAAATGACGTTATCCAGATTAGCTAGGTGGCCCCAAACCAATCACATGATTCCATAAAAGTAGAGAGCTTTTCCTAGCTGCAGTTAGACAGAGATGAGATGTTGCTGGTTTTGCAGATGTAGAAAAGGGGCCATGCCCCAAGGATGCAGCAGCCTCTAGAAGCTGGAAGGGCAAGGAAAGAGATGTCCTCTAGAACTTCAGAAAGGAGTGCAGCCCTTGACACCTTGATTTTAGCCCAGGGAGACTCATGTTAAACTTCTTAACTACAAAAATATAAGATAATAAATTTGTGTTGTTTTAAGTTGTTACAGCAGCAACAGAAAACCAATTCAGGGACTAAAGAAAGGGAAAAGAAAAGATTAAGGAATAAGAAATTGATAGAATTCCCATAATTTTTTTTAAAAACCTTAAAAATAACACTAGTCTCTGGTTTATTTTATTTTCCCATTTTAAGTAGAATTCATAATTTTTATTACCTTTATCAGAATTCATAAAATAACTTTAAAAGTCACAGAAAAAGTAACCTCAATGAAATTATAATTTAATTATAATGTGACAGTAAAAGATCAAGTTAAGAAAAATAGATCTTTAGTGAACCCTCAAAACTGTTAAAGGAAGATTAAAAGGAAGAAGCTGTATTGATTTTTATTATTAGTTTAAAGGTGTCAGGTCAACACAAATTGTTAATCATTCTGTTGGACTGTTTTTTTAAGTACCTGCCTGAGAGTCACATTTTCTTGAGGAAAATGCAGGACTGTGAGCTTCACGGTCAGCAGAGGGCACCATGGGGCAGGCTCTCCCTCATCCAAGGATGCTTTCCAGGCAGGCAAAGGATCGTGACTATGGTTCTGGAAGCCTGTGTTTCCTTTGTAACATCTGGTACTCTTGAAAATCAGGTGTGAGAGCGGGAACAAGTTTTTTGCACTGAAATAAATATTTCTTTCAATATAAGCTTATTTATGATAATTGTTGACATCTTCCTCAATAAAAAAGAAAAATAATAACTCAATAATAATACCTCAATAAAAAAGAAAATTTCAGCAATTTTCATGAAGTCTTCAAAAACAGGAATATTAGGTAAGTAATGAAAATCAGCAGTGTCGTGCAACTTAGTTAAATGGAAACTCCCCAGAGCTAGTGCTTAGAAGAGAGGGGGTGAGAGGGGGGAAGATGTGTCCTGAGGATGATATTTAACCAAGTGTCCAGGCATCCACGATAATATCCAGTGAGGATGAAATCCATCTTCAGTTCAAAGAACAATTAGTACATTCTTCAGCTCACCAAAAAAGGTGTAGACACCAAGCTGGCTGCAAATCAGAGCCCACAAAAAAGAGAAGGACAAGGGCCAAGTAGAGTCACACAAGCCAATTTATGGCTCAGGCAGCCAGGGCTTTGCAGAATATATTGGAAGGAGCAAATGAACCTAGAGATAGTGATGATTATGTCTTTGCATTTCAAAGGAATATAGAATATAACTGCAAGAGCAGGGATCTTGAATTCCTGCAAATTGTAAGGAAGGTCACGGTATAAGAAGGGGACTAACTGAAGCAAAGACAATGAGGGACACACAGAGGGGAACTAGAAAGGCAGGACAAAGCCGGGAGACCACATCTGCCACTTATTCTACCTGCTATTCTATACAGACACCATCTAGCTTTGCATGGAGATAGCACAGATAGAAATGAAAATAATTTTAAAATATTATGATGGTTTATTAAAGGGAATTCATATTTAAGAGTATACTCATAAATTTTATTTATTTATTTAGTGAATCAGAAACGTATTTTTACGGTACAGAGTTCAAAAGGTATATTCCTATTTGGAATAGAAGAACACTAAATTTATTGTTTTTATAAAAATAATACAATTATTACATTATAGTGTATTTTAAAATGTCACGATTTATATGATCCCATTTTTTGTACAATACTTTCTATCCTTTTCTTTCTACTTATATATCTAGCCAACAAGCCAAATTTTAATATTTTTTCTGTTTAGAGAGATATCTGGACCAATGTTCACCAAATTTTGATGGCTATTTCTCGGTGCTTCTCCATTTTCCAATTACATATCTGTTGTAAGATTTTTTTGTGTGTGAGGAAGATCAGCCCTGAGCGAACATCCATGCTAATCCTCCTCTTTTTGCTGAGGAAGACCGGCCCTGAGCTAACATCTATTGCCAATCCTCCACCTTCTTTTCCCCTTTCTTCTCCCCACAGCCCCAGTAGATAGTTGTATGTCACAGCTGCACATCCTTCTAGTTGCTGTATGTGGGACACGGCCTCAGCATGGCCGGACCAGCGGTGCATCGGTGCGCGCCTGGGATCCGAACCTGGGCCGCCAGCAGCAGAGCGCGCACACTTAACCACTAAGCCACTGGGTTGGCCCTGCAAGATTTTTTTTTTTTCAGCCAAAACAACATATCACAACAGATTGAATGCAGAAGCAGATATGAAAATCTGGCAGTTTTCAATTAAGCCAGACATTAAAGATATTTTTTTAATGTAAATAATGTAACTTTCTCACTAATATCTTATTTTGGAAAATAAAGTATTTTTCATAAAAATGTTATTTTTATTAATGTAATGGTTTTATCACTGCTATTTTTTAAATGAATAAACATGGAAAAAATTTTCAGTTTTAATTTCTAACATAGTAACTACTGAAAGAGATAATCTATATAAATCAAAGCTTTTTGGGGTCCTCTATAAATTTTAAGAGTGTAAAGGGGTCCTAACACCAAAAAGATGAGAACCTCTATCCCAAGGACTCCTAAATGTATAACTCTAAGTCAGATCTCTCTCATGAGCAGCAACTCATATAAACATGTTTAATAAACACCTCAAAATAAATAATTCAAAAAAACCTCTTGATGCTATCCCAACCTGCCAAATTTCCTCCTTCCCAGTTTTTCCAATTTTTGTAAATGGCATCATGTTAATCTGGTTGCTCATCCCCCAGACATAGGAATCATCGTTGACTGATTTCTTCTATAACCCCCCACATCCGATCCATCAGCAAGTTCCGTTGACACTACCGTCAAAATATACTCCTATCATATCACTTCTCACCACCTTCACAACCATCACCCCAGTGCAAGGCACCATCATATTCTCTTGGCATCTTGGAATTGAAAAGAAAAAACACTTACTGAGTAACGTTTCCGAAGGGTAGCTATAGAAAAGTACAAGTGTCTTCTATATCATCACCACCATCATCATATCAATACAAGCAGAATCCAAATAGTTTACATAATATAATATCAGTTTTCATTTTTTAATACAACGATTCAATGATTACAGTGATTCAATTTTCCCTAACCAAATTCTAAAAGCCTTAACTCAAAAGAGTAGGTGATATTATATATTTCATGCAATAACTTTCATAAAAGAATCTAAGCATATAATTTTGAAAGTTTTAAAATGTTATCAAATAAATGACATCGGAACATTTTATGTTTCAGAAACTTTTTCATTTAGACAGTGGATTAAAATGTAAGTTCTATATTTTTTTCATTAGATGCATAGTTCAACTTACCTTATCGAGTTCATCTGAAATTGCAATACCTAGAATTCAAAAGAGATTTATAAAAAAGTTTTAGAAGCAATCTTTAATAACCTAATGTTAAAAACAAAAGCAAAAGTTCTATTTGTAAAACTAGTGCACTTTTCATTCTATTTTTTCTTTTTATTAGTGTTTCAAAATAACGTGGTACATCCTTTCTACTAAAGAAAACAAATTAGGAATTTAAATCAACCGTGATAGCACGAACTGCTGAAACAATAAAAATGATGCAACAAAACAAAACAAGTACCACACCCATTGTAGGTTGTTAAATGCAGAACAAATTTGCAAAGACAATTGTAGAGATGTTGTTCTTATGCTGTACTGACTGACAATCAAGTACAACTTAGCCTGTTATAATTTTGTTCTTTCTTAAGAATTGATTTAGACTTCTCAAGTGATAAAATACTAAGGCAGATTGGTGCTTGGAGATCATTGATTTTAATTCCCTTATTTTACAGATGAGGACACAGACTAGAGAGCTTAAGGAATTTGTCCCACATTCCCTTAGATGGACAGCTTTTTGAGCCAATGGATAAATGATTCCTCCTCACAAGTTCCCTTTCTCAAAATCCATGCATTCCTCACTGTACATCAGTCTAATTTCTGTCTTTACCATTCCTCCAAAATTGTTCTAAGTCAGAAACGTAAAAAGTTTCAGTCTTTATTTTATTCTCCTGTGATGATAGACGCTGTTAACTCCACTCTCTTTCTTGAAATGCCGTCCTCTCTTTTCTATTCTCCTTCTTTGTCTCCTTCACAGGAATCCTCTCCTTTGGGGGTAGGGAGTCCTTTCCTGAAATGCCAATGGTTCTTTGCTGAGCTGTCTTTTCTTTTCACTTGATATACTTCACCTGGTAAACCCAGGTGAAGTATATCAACCCATCTAACCCACACCACTGACATTTTTATTTCTCTATATGGTGATGGCCAGCAAATCTTGATCGCAGGCACAGACTTTCTTTCTGAACTAGTTGCTAAATCCCTGTATGCATTTCATTCTCAACATGTCAAGCTAAAGACATCATCCTCCCATCATCTCATTTCCCCTTTGTTTTGAACCGTGGTGTGCCTAGGGCTGAACACAGGCACCGGAGCAGGTGCAGCCAGACATCAGGTTTGGGGCATAGGGCAAAGGGAAGCTGGTGTCCAACCAGTGTGGGCTGGGCCAAGAGCCAAGAAAACATCTGACATTCGAAATTCAAGGGAACACAGAGAAAATAACAACAGGATTCAGGCTAAAGTTCAGCAGACTATAAAGCACAAGAAAGAATGAGCTGGGTTGGGAAAGAGTACCTGAAAATAGTCTCAAGAAAATAAGCCTGAGTAAAGATCCCCTTCCCTGCTCAGGTACAGAATGTCTGTAGAGGGTACTTTACTGGTTACTAGATCATCTCCCATACCACTAACCTAAGAATCAATTATACACAAAGCAGAAAAAATATGCCCTACTTCATCTCAGTAAATGACACCACTCTTCTCCTTGTAGATAACTAAAAGCACAGGTGTATTCAACGTGCATTCTTCATAGCAATATTCTATGAAATTCTTTTTTGGTAAAAGTTATTGGTAACTAAGAATTTTTCTGAGTCACTATACTAAAAGACAGCCTAGCCACCACTTCAGGGATTTTGGGTGACCTAAATTTAACAATTATTCAAGGACTTTCTGTATTATGAAAGCAGCTCCTTCAGACAATTCAAGGAGAGAAGGCTTCATGAAGGAATGCATCACAGCTGGGCAGTTCACCACTGAGGGTGTGCGGTGGAGAACTCTGCGATCTATCGGTACCACAGTAGGGGAACATATTGAAACAGATATAAGATCCCAAACCTTTTGGGGCAATTATAAACATTTTTGAAGGCCTAACATAAGTCACACGTTTATGAATTCTTGCATTTAATAAACATATAGAATTATAAATGGTCACTTGGAATAACTCAGATTTCAAGATAATGTAGAATATTATAGAGTACCAAATGATTTAGGTCACAGTCAACAGTAGGTTTAAAATACATTATTACAGTTTATAAAAGCCAAATAAATATTTTAAATGCTGATATTTACATTTAATACAATACTATAAAAATGTTCCTTTCCAATATGAATTCAAGATTAAAACTGAATATATTATTTAAAAATAAATATTTAAAAGACAATCTATTTTAAAAGAGAGAGACAAAAAAATATACTAAACAAAATTCTCCCAGAATAAAACTCAAACTAGCTAAATGGGAAACTTGGTTTGGGGAAGGAATTACACCTGTAATTGTTCCAGGTGTTTGCTCTTACATATTTTGTTCAGATGTTTTGTTATATTTTCTCAGTATTTACATATTTTGATGATTTTGCCGAAGAAACTACCTAAATAAATCTCTTCTCTATTATATATAATTCTCTCAGGTCTCTATTATCCATGTCAAGTTGCCTAGGCTATTTTTTACTTTTTGTTATTTCGTTTTTAATCAAAGCTTAAACCCATTAAAAGCAGTTGAAAGAATTTTAAAGAAACGCTTCTTTACAGAAGCATGAAGCTCTAACGAGTACCATTCACACTGAGTAGCCAGGATATTTCTCCTAGTGCCTCGCAGAACATCCACAGCTGTTCCCTGAGAGGAGATTAACAGTTTTTAGGCATTTTATTATCTCTTAAAAGGCATTATAATTTAATATTTTTAGTTTATAGAAACTGGGGAGCTGCGGTGAACAGAAAATGTAGCGGGTGCTACAGTATGTTGTGAGGAGAAAAGGCCCAGGATCTGATGGTAGGACTCTTGCTGCATTCTGGAACACATGGTCTTCCTAAAGGCCAAACTCGGACCCTAAAGGAAATATTGGCCTATGAGAGTAGCCAAAGAGGTTTGGTTTAGGGTAGCAATGGTGCTCAACTATAGAAGTGGGCTGCCTGGAAGAAATGGGGAAATGAGTCCCTTCAGAAACTAAGCTTCTCATCCAGATAAAGAGGCAAGGGCTCTCACAGGCATATCAGAGGTGGATTCCTGATTCTGCTGCAGTGCAAACCTATCTGGATGGCTTCCACTTGTGTCTTTCAACTTATGCGCCTTTCCATTGATTTCAATCTCCAAAAAGGTCTCAGTGGTATCAGGAATTGATTCCAAAACACAGTTCTCACATTCCCAAGTGTGAGTTGTGCTATATCAAGAAAACAAGAGCCATATGCTTCACCATGATTTCCGTCTTCCCAGGTATCAGCTTAGCCCTAGAGTTAGAATCAGATTGTAGCTACAAGTAATGGAAGTAGCAACTTTTCACAATTCTTTAAAGCTTAGTCAGTGTAATTCATTTCATAAGAGTAGGTCATAAAATTCATATGGTATAAAACAGAACTAGCTATTTCACCAAAATCTGTTTCCCCATTGGAAAAAATCCCAATGATACGAGAACGTAGCGATAGACTGCCCCAACTCTTCTTTTTTTCAATCGTGAAATAATAAACACATACAGAAATAGAGTATACAACATGGAAATACTGGTTTTATGCTGGAGCTAGCCCAAACTATAAGAACCAATTCTGCACATCTCTTTCCAACTCTGCACATTTCTTCCCAACTCCTCATTCAGTAATATCACATTAGTGGCTTGAAATTAGCCATGGTGGGAGTATTTACAATACGGAAATTGGCAGATGCTACAAATTAGGGCTTATTTTTAGAGTCAGTATACCAGCACATCACTGAGTATAATGAATAACATTAAAGCAATTACCTACATAAGTATCACACAAATTGACAAATAGAACATTGCTGATAACCCAGACCTACCCCTGACCATTTGTCAATTAAAACACTCTTTAGCCAGGCTACTGACTGCTTTTAGAGCAAAAAGAATTCCTGCCACGAACTGAGGGAATCTATCTTCAATTGGTTACCCTAGAACAAAAGTTGGCAAAATTTTCTGTAAAGGGCTAACCAGTAAATATGTTAGGCTTTCCGAGTCACATATGGTCTGTGTCATATTCATATATTTCTTCTTTTTTAAACAACCCTTTAAAAATGTAAAAAAACATGCTTAGTTCATGGGCCACAAAAACAGGCCACAGGCTCAATTTGGCTCATGGGTCAGAGTCTGCTGACCTTTGCTCTAGAAGCACACGTCAATTTTTATCCCTGACTAACCGACTCTTTCATTCTTCGAAGAACACTTCCAAACCTTGATGGTTTTCAGCAGGCCCCTACTCCTCTTCTCCTCTTGCTCACCATACAGGACCTCAACTACAAATATCCCGAAAAATTTGAACCTATCAGGTTTGAACTCCCTGGAGGTCCTGATCCATCCTCCCCCTCAAACAAGCCACTCATAGTGTTCTCTCCAGTCTGAGAGGATGATGTCTTCTTTCTCCTGGGAAGCCCAATTTCCACACCTGCTTTCTTGACTCCATCCCCATCCGCCTTCCCTGGTATTTGCTCCATCTATTATCTTCTCTCTCTCTCCTGCATCTGCAAGGTCTTTCTTTTGGTTTCCTCTGATCATCATAAAACCATTACATATATACACAGACACACACAATACTCTCTCTCTCACTTTTTCTCTTTCTCTCATACACACACACACACACGAAACTAAAAGAAACCAAACCAAAATGACCAAAAATCCCAACTAACACTTCTTACCTTCCCCCACTAATTACCGTTCTCTTTCACACCTTCCCTTTTCATCAAAACTTTTTAAAGAAGAGTCTATACTCCTTGTCTCTCTTCTTTACTGTCCATTTACTCTTCTATCCACTACTTGCTAGCTTCTGCCTCCACCATTCTCTAAAAACTGCTCTTTAAAAAGTAACTATAGGGCCGGCCCCGTGGCTTAGCGGTTAAGTGCGCGCGCTCCGCTGCTGGCGGCCCGGGTTCAGATCCCGGGCGCGCACCGACGCACCGCTTCTCCGGCCATGCTGAGGCCGTGTCCCACATAGAGCAACTAGAAGGATGTGCAGCTATGACATACAACTATCTACTGGGGCTTTGGGGGGAAAATAAATAAATAAAAT